CGGGTACGTAGCCCTAAGTGTACCTGATACATGAAGTGTGACACTCACACTCAGAGTATGACACGTCATACTCCGGATATTTGGTACAAGGTACAAGTCGTTCAAAGCCAACCATTGGTTAAACGACATTGCATTTCTATAGGTAACTTATAGTTTGTATTAAACCCAAACTTAACCTACCTATAAATATACTCAGTTTACAATCTACCTTATTTAGGTCACTTCGCTCTCTTTAAGTAAAGAGGGGACCTGTGAACTGCCGTTCACTGAGAGTTTGTATACTCTCGGAAGATAACTTCCTCTAGCGCAAGATGCTGTGTGACCCCGTCACAAGTAAATTGTAAATACTGTACCTCATTTTGTATGTGAGCTACATGTATTAATACCTTTTAAAATTCAGAAACGAGCACTATTTCTAAGCGTATGTGCACATGTAGTACAACGTATCACACCTTCAAATGATAAAAACTGACCGATTATGGGTCAAAGTGTTTCCTTATTACTTCATGTAGAATACCCAATCATTTGCTCTCTTCAAGTTTGATACACAAAGCTACAATTCAGCTTTACCTATAGATATTTTTAACACTGGCCATCCATCCAGTCGATCAGCAGCCAATATGGACGATGGCGATGCTCCGCGCGCGGCGCAGATCTCGCAGGCGGACATCATCGAGCGCCAGGCCGAGTCCATCGCGCGGCTGAAGAAGCAGGTGCAGAAGGGCAGCGAGTACAAGGAGCAGACCAAGTCCAAGCTCAAGGAGGCGGCGGCGCGGCTGAAAGAGTACCGTCTTCGTGTTGAAACGCTTTTACGCTCGGAGGAAACGCTGAAAGAGCAACTGCAGACTGAGCAAGCTGCGCATGCTAAAACGAAGAAGCAGCATAAAACCACCTTGAATCAAGTAAAAACGAGAAAACAAACTCACGCAGCGACTCAAACGGACGAGAAAAAGAAAATAACGCGTACGAGTCAGACGCTGTTAAGTGGCGATGTGGAACGAGTTAACAAGAAGACAATGGTGGACAGTGAAGTACAGACGGTGCACATCGCAATAGACACATTGACGTCCAAAAAACGAGGCAGAACGTCCACTGCGACGCAAATGGACCAAATCGTGCCGAAACTCTCGCGACATTTATTAAAGGAGACGCTCGAGGACACTTTAGCCATAAGTAAAGAGCCGCTCGAGCTTCTAGATGGACATATGACTACGTTCCCGCACCAAACAAGTGCAGCGTTAGACGCTGAATTGGCTTTTAGCGATTCCGACGCTGAAAGTGGCGAAACGCTAAAACTCGATAGTATGGCGGAAACTGGCGCAAGCGTCGAGTTGATCCCGTTTGATGCCTCGATATCGAATGAAATCGACAAGGAATTGGATTTTAGCGACGATGAAATGGCTGAAACGACGAAAAGTGGAGATTTATCGACAGTAAAAGCACATGACGGTGCTGAAATGTCGCTGTTAAGTGGAATTGATGCAACACTGCAGAGTGAAATTGACAAGGAACTCGAAAGCAGCAGTGACGACGAGAGTGTTGAAACGCGTAAAAACGCTGAAATTGCTGACGAAATCGATAAAGCTTTGGAATCCAGCGACGAAGAAAAAGAAAAAGAGAAAACTAATGTCACGGCGGTAGATACTGGCGACAGCCATGGGTGCACTTTAATGTCGATTGACGATGAGCTAGACGACGAATTTGCAGCTCTGGAGGCGGATTCCGAGCCAGAGAATTCAAAACCTGCGAAAGATAATTTAAACCCTGCAGAGTCCAGTTCCAGCAGCTCGAGCGACAGTGACTCGAGTGACAGTAGCGACAGCGAGTCGGGTGAAGACGGAGACGACCCCATGACTGGAATTGCCGATAAAACACCCGATCGAGAGGCTTGTACCACCGATTCTGGGGCGCTCACCAGACCAGTCACGGCCATGTACTCGCCTGTTGTCGAGGCCAAGTCGTCGTGTTCAACCCCCGAGCCTCTGCAGCTGTCAGCAACGAACCACAAGGAGGACACGAGTGCTGCTAGCTTGCAGCCAAAGCCGGTCCAAAAGAGCATTTCAGACGACCTCCAACCTACCACGACAGTCGATGATACGGTGGTGGTACAAGGCGCAAACTCCTCTTCTACTAACGATGACAACTCCAGTATTCCCGTGTCCAAGCCAGCGGCCTTAATCGAACAGGATAAACCTGTGCCTGACACCATAATGCAGCCGCCAGAAAGAGCAACCGAACGTGGTGAATTGGTAAGGAATGTACAGGTTTCTGAGCCTCCATCTGTACCGAAAGACACGTCTCCAAAGAGATCCCGGAAAGCTGATGAAGCAGCGCTAAGTTCGGCTCAATCTAGCGCTCAAAAGAAAGCAAAACGCGAGGAAGTTTCGACTCAAATCAAAATAAAGAAACCAGAGAAAGAGTCCAAGGACGAGCGGAGGATGAAAAAGTCGCTCGCGTTATTTACACAAGCCATCGTTTTAAACAAAAACGAACAAGCTGACAGCAAGTATGCACGGGAGATGCGGGTACAGCCGTCGGCTGCTGTGTTGTCTCGTCTTCTTCGTTGTCGCCTGGAAGCATCTCGTACCTGCGTCCACGTTCACTGCTCGCTGTGGGTGACGCCCCCAAGAACCTCCCCATGCTGCACGTACAAAATGCCTCTTCCCTTTTCCGCAGTGAGGTCGGAAACTGAACATCCAGTATGGATTGTTTAAAA